TTGTATACAGGTGTCTTGTCTTCTTCGCAGATTTGGTTTTATATTGCTCTTTCTTGACTTCGTACACGGTTTTATGTTTTTTGCGGGTAGAAATTTCTTATATTACTCATTCGAGACTGAATAAAGATTGCACGTCCTATTTGCATGTAAGTTTTTTTTTTTTTTTTTTTTTTTACTACAAAGCACTGGCCAGCAACATAAAAGGGGAGGTAGACAAAAGTGGACAAGCGAACTTTGACAACACAGAGGAGCGTGGCATGCGTGCCGATGAGGTAGGTCAACCTCCCCCGACCTAGTGGTCTCGGGTTCAACAGTTGGTCTACGCATCAGGAAGGGGAAATGGACAGAGAAAGGGAGAATGAGCATGAGGAGCTTCCCAGGAGAGGAAGAGTGTGTGTGTGAGAGAGAGAGAGAGAGAGAGAGAGAGAGAGAGAGAGAGAGACAGAGAGAGAGAGAGAGAGAGAGACAGAAAATGATAATAATAGAGACAACCGGTTATTCTCAGTGCTGGTGGACTTCAGTGGCCCATAGCCAATTGGTCTGGCGGAGGTGGTGGTAGGCCTTGGTCTTGAATGTCGGCACTTTCTTGAGAGTTGGGCGTTCGGCGAGGATTGGGGCAGGCAGTGTGTTCCAGCTCTCCAGGACAAAGTATGGGAAGGAGCGGCGGATGAACTCTGGACTGGAGGCTGGCAGAGGAGTTGCGAGTTGGAAAGAGTGGCCACCGAGGGACTGGCGTTGCCGGCGCGTCCGGGGTGCAGCGTTAACTCTTGCTGGGGGAGGTACCATGTTGGTAAGCAGAGCTGGACCTGGTATGCATTGCAGCTTATACAGGTAGCACAGCCCGTAAACATGCCTTCGGATTGCCAGGCTGGGGAGCAATGAGGGGCCAATAACCTTCATGGCTCGACGCTGGACCAGGTCCAGCTGATGGAGGTGACAATGTGCCGCACTTGCCCAGACGAGAGGGGCGTACTCCATTATAGGCCGTACAAATCCTTTGTACACAGTTAGGCGCCCTGCACTGTCCAGGATCCGAGATGCCTTTCGGAGCAGGCCGAGTCGCTGGTTGGCTCTAACGGCAAGGGAACGGATGTGGGCCCGGAAGGAGAGAGTACTGTCAAATAACACTCCTAGCAGCTTGAGCTGAGGGCTCTCAGGCACCTGCATGCCATCAAATGTGAGCTGTGGGACATCCAGGGATGGTCTGTGGCGGTCAAGAAGTATTGCCTGAGATTTTGATGGCTCGAACTTTATCTTCCATTGGGCACCCCAAGTCTGAAGGCGGTCAATAGATGCTTGGAGGCTATTGCAAGCAGAAGTTCATATATGACTTATGCAGGACTGCATACAGTTATCACGTCTTGTTATCAATCCGGATTTCTTTATGCTCTTTCTTTACTGCATGCATGTGCAACAGCAACTGCTCGTGCCTCTGTCTGTGCATGTACATGTTTATGAAGGATAGGCTGGACGTTCTTGGACACTGGAAGAACTGAAGGACTGCTGAACAGCTGCAGTGAGTAAGTTCTGTTTCTTATCTCTTTGACTAGGAAGTTCTAATTTCTTTTTCAACTGGCTGCAACAGTGTGCTTCAGCTGAGTGAGTACTATTATCACAATACACACCTATTAGCGAGATCCACTAGAAATATCTTAGATGGAAAGGTGTCCCTAAAACTCACTACATGCCCGATCAGTCGCTCTGCCAACGACGTCTTCAGAACGTTTGACGGCATTTGATATCAGCTATTGCCCTGTAATAGTTGGGAGACGTGTGTGCGTACATTGCAGTAATGTCTGGCGCCACACAAATGTGGCGCGGAAGAATGACCAGCCTAGGGTCAAGCTCATCAAGCTCAGTACATGACAGTGTGTGGGCGTACAGTGCAGTAGTTTTGGACGCCAAAGAATTTAGCGCGGTAGAACGACCAGCCTAGCACCAAGCTCAGTATACAGATGTCAAAAATTAATGTCAAGGGCTGCAAAGAGAGCAAGCATTGTGGGAAACTGCTGTTCAACAACAACACGCAGCGGGCCAACAGACACACTGGAGTGTGCGAAAATATGCGAAACTGAACGCCGAGTCCCAACGCTGCAGCATAGACTGGAAGATCAAGAGATGACTGTGCGGGAGTTCCTCAACGGTGTTCGACACACCTTGGTTCAGTAGCGTAACATGTCATTGTGTTTATTCTCTGCCTTGAGTTGAAATCAGTGGAGTTAAATTGAGTCAGAAGCTATTTGAATCATGCTGCAGTAGGAGTCATTCAATTCGGGTCATGCTGAAATTGAGTCCTGCGCGAAGTCGGGAAAGCTCATGACATAAGAGCGGGGCTGGTGTCAGCCGCGCTGAAAATGGGTTTCACTGATGTGGGGGCACACGGATCGAAGATGATGACAAGCACAGTTAGTTCAGTGCGTAGTAACAATACATGAGACACAGTGGGCGGTCCAGCACAATAGCAAGTAGTACGTGTAGTAAAGCCTAACTAAAGGGCAACAAAGAGAGTGCCGTCAGTCGCAATACATGCAGCAGCTAGCTGGGGTTATAATACACTGTGACTGGAAATATTTCCCTGGCATCAGAACTACATTGCTTGCATTGTGAACTGTTAGCTATGCTCTCTGTATGTCCTTGACTTGGAAAACGAACAGAAGATATTAGTGTCTATGTAACAGTTTTATGTAGCGTACAGGCCGCTTACATTCAAGTTTCAACGCCATTCTTTAACCCTTTAAGAGCCGCCCCATACTTGAATGCGTCGTAAACGACAAATGCAAAACTTCAAAAGATCGTAACTCAGTCCAATCTCGCTCAAATCCCTTAAGAAAGGACACAGTAGAACGTTGAGGCGGTAGCAGAAGGAGAAACTGGCCTTGCGAGTTGTTCAATGGGAGATTTTAAGTATTCCAAGATGGCGGCAGATTCAATTTTTGTCTGATGATCCATTCAGTTCGTGAAACTCAGAGTTGCAAAACAGCAACTGATCGCTCTTCTATCTGTGCATGTATTTGAAGGGGGATCCGGACGTTCTTGGACACTGGAAGAAGGAGTAAAGAATAGCACCTGTCTTTGCAATCAGCTCATGCCGTAGCAGTGCACGACACTGACTAACGGTACGGACGTTCTACCTCTAACTGGCAATCAGCTCAATCACTCAATAAATCATAGGCAATCGGTTGGAGTGGAGATAAAAGACGTGATAGAGCTGATTGCCAGCTAGGGGTAGAGCGTCAGTACCGTTGGTCAGTGTCGTGCAATGTTTTCGCATGAGCTGCTTGTTTGGTAACTAGTGGTGTTAGTAGACATTATAACGTAACTTGTACTTCTTTGGTCCTCTTTTCTTCTGTATAATTGAAAGTTTACAGTGCATTTCAAAACTATAGACGCGTAGGGTTTTTGAAATATTTCAAATTTGGCTGGAACTTTTTGAGAATAGTTTTCGGAATATTCCTCAGGATCGCTCCACAATTACTCTCATATAGTTTCTAAAGGATTGGATAACAGACGCCCAATTAGGAAAAATTTATGCACAAAGTGATCACAGATTTTATGTGGTATAGATGCTGGCATAACGGTTTTTGCCTAGGTACGCGTCTATAGTTTTGAAATGGACTGTAGTTCTTTCTTAAAGTCTGCTAGCGAAGAAAAGGTAGGAAAAAGGGTAGGTTAACTTAGCGATTATCAAGCAGCTTAGGTTAACTTAACGATTATCAAGCAGCTTAGGTTAACGTAGCGATTATCAAGCAGCTTCTGACAGACAAGAAAGGTATAACTAGGGGGTTCTGTCAAGAGCGTGTGGCAGGTGGGGTATGTCAATTAATTCAAAATGTTTAGAACAATGTGCATGCTGCAATCAGTTTGTGATGTTTTTCCAAGTCCTCATGGTCCCGGACATGATCTTAAACTGTGTCCTGGCGTGTCGTCTGCCTGTGTCGTCTGCCTGTGTCGCTTGCCTGTGTCGTCTGCAACCGTCTCTGTCTTCTCTCTGCCTCTGTCTGTCTGTCTCTTTCGCTCTCTCTCTCTCTCTCGGACTCTCTATCTATCTCTCTCTCTATCTATCTATCTATCTATCTCCATTTCTCTAAATATTTCTGTCTCGACCTTTCATTCTTACTCTCTCCTCTACTTCTCTATGTACTTCTCTCTGTACCTCTATCTCTCCCTCTCTCTCCCTTTCTCTCGATCTCTCGATCTCTACCTGTCTTGCTCTCTCTCTCTACCTCCCTCTCTGTACCTCTCTCCCTACCTTTCTCTCTACTTCTCTTTCACCCTCATTTTCTACCTCTTTCAGTATCAACGTCTCTCTCTCTACTTCGCTGTCTATATTTCTGTCTCTACCTCTGTCTCCACTTCTCTATCTCTGCCTTTTTCTTCACCTCTCTCTATCTCTCTCCCTGCCTCTCTCTGTAACTCTCTCCCTACCTCTCTCCCTACCTCTCCGTCTATCTCTCTCCCTCCCTTCCTCTCTCTCTCCACCTATCTATCTCTCTCCCTCTGCCTCTCTATCTACCTTTCTCTACCTTTCTCTCTACCAATCTCCCTACCTCTCTCCCTACCTCTGTCCCTACCTCTCCCCCTACCTCTCTCCCTACCTCTCTCCCTACCTCTCTCCTTACCTCTCTCCCTACCTCCCTCACTACCTCTCTGTCGACGTCTCTCCCTACGTCTCTCCCTACCTCTCTCCCTACCTCTCTGTCTACCTCTCTGTCTACCTCTCTGTCTACCTCTCTCCCTATCTCTCTCTACCCCTACCTCTCTCCCTACTTCTCTCTGTCTACCTCTCTGTCTACCTCTTTCCTCCCTCTCCCCTACCTCTCTGTCTACCTCTCTCCCTACATCTCTCTGTACCTTCCTCTCCCTACCCCTCTCTTTCTCTACCTCTCTCTCGACCCCTCTCGCTACCTCTCCCTCTGCCTCTCTATCTACCTCTCTCTCTACCTTTCTCACTACCTCTCACCCTACCTCTCTCTCTACCTCTCTCTACCTATATCTCTGACTTATTTACTACCTCTCTCCCTACCTCTCTGTCTATCTCTCTCCCTACCTCTCTGTCTATCTCTCTCCCTACCTCTGTCTCCACCTCTCTCTCTACCTTTCTGCCTACCTCACTCTCTACCTCTCTCTCTCTAACTCTCTCGCTGCCTCTCTCTCTCTCTCTCTCTATCTCTCTATTCACCATTCTGTCTATCTCTCTCTCTACCTCTTTCCCTACCTGTCATTCTACCTCTCTGTCTAACTCTCTCCCCACCTCTCTGCGTACCTCTCTTTCTACCCTCCTCTCTCTACCGCTCTCTCTCTACCTCTCGCTCTCTCTACCTTTTTGCCTACCTCTCTCTCTACCTCCCTCTCTACCTCTCTGCCTACCACTCTCCCTACCTCTCTCACTACCTTCCTCTCTCAACCTCTCTCTCTCTACCTCTCTCTCTCTACCTCTCTCTCTAGCTCTCTCTCTATCTCTTTCCCTACCTCCTCTCTCCCTACATTTCTCTCTACCTCTCCCCCTACCTCTCTGTCTACCTCTCTCTCTATCTCCCCCTCTACCTCTATCCCTACCACTCTCCCTACCTCTCTCTCTATCTTCCTCTCTCTACCTCTCTCTCTACCTCTGTCTCTACCACTCTCCCCACCTTTCTCGCTACCTCTCCCCTACCTTTCTCACTACCTCTCTCTCTCTACCTCTCTGTATACCTCTCTGTCTACCTCTCTGTCTACCCTTCTGTCTACCTCTCCCTACCTCTCTCTCTACCTTCCTCCATACCTCTCTCTGTACCTCTCTCTGTACCTCTCTCCCTACCTCTCTGCCTACCTCTCTCCCTACCTCTCTCCATACATCTTTCTCTACCTCTCTCCCTTCATCTCTCCCTACCTCTCTGTCTATTTCTCTCTCTCTCTTCTTCTCTCTCCACCTCTCTCCCTACCTCTCTCTCTACATCTCTGTCTACTTTTCTCCCTTCCTGTCTCTCTACCTTTCTCTCTACCTCTCTCCTTACTTCTCTCCCTATTTCTTTCCCTACCTCTCTCCCTACCTCTCTCTCTACCTCTCTCCCTACCTCTCTCTCTTCTCCTCTCTCTCTACCTCTTTGTCTACCTCTCTCCCTATCTCCCTCTCGACCTCTCTGTCTACCTCCCTCTCTACCTCTCTCCCTACCACTCTCCCTACCTCTCTCTACCATCCTCTCTCTACTTCTCTCTTCCTCACTCTCTAGCTCTCTCCCTACCTCTCTCCCTACCTCTCTCCCTACCTCTCTCCCTACCTCTCTGTCTACCTTTCTTCCTTCCTCCCTCCCTACCTCTCTCCCTACCTCTCTCCCTACCTCTCTCCCTACGTCTCTCCCGTCCTCTCTTCCTACCTCTCTCTGCGCCTGTGGATTTTGTACTATGCTTGAGGGTGATCTACGCCTGTGGGTATGGAACTTTCCCCGGGGGCGATCTACGCCTGTGGATTTGGAACTTTGCTTGGGAGTGATCTACGCCTGTGGATTTGGATCTTTGTTTGGCGATGTTCTTCGCCTGTGGATTTGGAACTTTGCCAGTGGATTGATCTACACCTGTGGATTTTGATCTTTGCTTGGGGGTGATCTACGCCTTTTGATTTGGAACTTTGTCGGTGGATTGATCTACGCCTGTGGAATCTCAAACTATGCTTGAGGGTGATGTGCGCCTGTGGATTAGGAAATTTGCTTGGGAATGATCTACGCCTCTGAATTTCGAACTATGCTTTGGGGTGATTTACAACTGGGGATTTGGGACTTTGTTTGGGGAACTTTAACGCCTGTGGATATGAAACTTTGCCGATGGATTGATCTGCGCCTGTGGATTTTCGAACTATGCTTTGGGGTGATCTACGCCTGTATGGAACGTTTCTTGGTTTTGATCTACGCCTGTGTTTTTGGAAATTTGCTTGGAAGTGATCTACGCCTGTGGATATGGGACTTTTCTTGGGGTTGAGGCTGTGGATTTGGAACTTTATTTGGGGATGTTCTACGCCTGTGGATTTGGAACTTGGACGCCTGGATTGATCTACGCCTGTGGATTTGGAACTTGGACGCCTGGATTGATCTGGGCCTGTGGATTTTCGAACTTTGCTATTAATTGTTAAAGTTGCGATCTACTAGTACGCCTGTGGATTTGGAACTTTGCTTGAAGGTGATCGAAGACTGTGGATTTGGAACTTTGCTTGAAGGTGATCTAAGACTCAGGATTTGGAACTTTGCTTGAAGGTGATCTAAGACTGTGGATTTGGAACTTTGCTTGAAGGTGATCTAAGACTGTGGATTTGGAACTTTGCTTGAAGGTGATCTAAGACTGTGGATTTGGAACTTTGCTTGAAGGTGATCTAAGACTGCGGATTTGAAAGTTTGCTTGAAGGTGATCTACGCCTGTGGATTTGGAACTTTGCTTGAAGGTGATCTACGCCTGTGGATTTGGAACTTTGCTTGAAGGTGATCTACGCCTGAGGATTTGGAACTTTGCTTGAAGGTGATCTACGCCTGTGGATTTGGAACTCTGCTTGAAGGTGATCTACGCCTGTGGATTTGGAACTTTGCTTGAAGGTGATCTACGACTGAGGATTTGGAACTTTGCTTGAAGGTGATCTACGCCTGTGGATTTGGAACTTTGCTTGAATATGATCTAAGACTGTGGATTTGGAACTTTGCTTGAAGGTGATCTAAGACTGTGGATTTGGAACTTTTCTTGAAAGTGATCTACGACTGCGGATTTGGAACTTTGCTTGAAGGTGATCTAAGACTGTGGATTTGGAACTTTGCTTTAAGGTGATCTAAGACTGTGGATTTGGAACTTTGCTTGAAGGTGATCTACGCCTGTGGATTTGGCACTTTGCTTGAAGGTGATCTAAGACTGTGGATTTGGAACTTTGCTTGAAGGTGATCTAAGACTGTGGATTTGGAACTTTGCTTGAACGTGGTCTAAGACTGTGGATTGGGAACTTTGCTTGAAGGTGATCTAAGATTGTGGATTTGGAACTTTGCTTGAAGGTTATCTAAGCCTGTGGATTGGGAACTTTGCTTGAAGGTGATCTAAGACTGTGGATTTAGAACTTTGCTTGAAGGTTATCTAAGACTGTGGATTGGGAACTTTGCTTGAAGGCGATCTAAGACTCAGGATTTCGAACTTTGCTTGAATGTGATCTACGCCTGTGGATTTGGAACTTTGCTTGAAGGTGATCTACGCCTGTGGATTTGGAACTTTGCTTGAAGGTGATCTACGCCTGTGGATTTGGAACTTTGCTTGAAGGTGATCTACGCCTGAGGATTTGGAACTTTGCTTGAAGGTGATCTACGCCTGTGGATTTGGAACTTTGCTTGAAGGTGATCTAAGACTGTGGATTTGGAACTTGGCTTGAAGGTGATCTACGCCTGTGGATTTGGAACTTTGCTTGAATGTGATCTACGCCTGAGGATTTGGAACTTTGCTTGAAGGTGATCTACGCCTGTGGATTTGGAACTTTGCTTGAAGGTGATCTAAGACTGTGGATTTGGAACTTTGCTTGAATGTGATATAAGACTGTGGATTTGGAACTTTGCTTGAAGGTGATCTAAGACTGTGGATTTGGAACTTTGCTTGAAGGTGATCTACGCCTGTGGATTTGGAACTTTGCTTGAAGGTGATCTACGCCTGTGGATTTGGAACTTTGCTTGAAGGTGACCTACGCCTGAGGATTTGGAACTTTGCTTGAAGGTGATCTACGCCTGTGGATTTGGAACTTTGCTTGAAGGTGATCTAAGACTGTGGATTTGGAACTTTGCTTGAAGGTGATCTAAGACTGTGGATTTGGAACTTTGCTTGAAGGTGATCTAAGACTGTGGATTTGGAACTTTGCTTGAAGGTGATCTACGCCTGTGGATTTGGAACTTTGCTTAAAGGTGATCTACGCCTGTGGATTAGGAACTTTGCTTGAAGGTGATATACGCCTGCGGATTAGGAACTTTGCTTGAAGGTGATCTACGCCTGTGGATTTGGAACTTTGCTGGAAGGTGATCTAAGACTGTGGATTTGGAAGTTTGCTTGAAGGTGATCTAAGACTGTGGATTTGGAACTTTGCTTGAAGGTGATCTAAGACTGTGGATTTGGAACTTTGCTTGAAGGTGATCTAAGACTGAGGATTTGGAACTTTGCTTGAAGGTGATCTAAGACGAAGGATTTCCAACTTTGCTTGAAGGTGATCTAAGACTGTGGATTTGGAACTTTGCTTGAACGTGGTCTAAGACTGTGGATTGGGAACTTTGCTTGAAGGTGATCTAATACTGTGGATTTGGAACTTTGCTTGAAGGTTATCTAAGACTGTGGATTGGGAACTTTGCTTGAAGGTGATCTAAGACTGTGGATTTGGAACTTTGCTTGAAGGTTATCTAAGCCTGTGGATTGGGAACTTTGCTTGAAGGTGATCTAAGACTGTGGATTTGGAACTTTGCTTGAAGGTGATCTAAGACTGTGGATTTGGAACTTTGCTTGAAGGTGATCGAAGACTGTGGATTTGGAACTTTGCTTGAAGGTGATCTACGCCTGTGGATTTGGAACTTTGCTTGAAGGTGATCTAAGACTGTGGATTTGGAACTTTGCTTGAAGGTGATCTAAGACTGTGGATTTGGAACTTTGCTTGAAGGTGATCTAAGACTGTGGATTTGGAACTTTGCTTGAAGGTGATCTACGCCTGTGGATTTGGCACTTTGCTTAAAGGTGATCTACGCCTGTGGATTAGGAACTTTGCTTGAAGGTGATATACGCCTGAGGATTAGGAACTTTGCTTGAAGGTGATCTACGCCTGTGGATTTGGAACTTTGCTTGAAGGTGATCTAAGACTGTGGATTTGGAACTTTGCTTGAAGGTGATCTAAGACTAAGGATTTGGAACTTTGCTTGAAGGTGATCTAAGCCTGTGGATTTGAAACTTTGCTAGAAGGTGATCTAAGACTGAGGATTTGGAACTTTGCTTGAAGGTGATCTAAGACGAAGGATTTGCAACTTTGCTTGAAGGTGATCTAAGACTGTGGATTTGGAACTTTGCTTGAACGTGGTCGAAGACTGTGGATTGGGAACTTTGCTTGAAGGTGATCTAAGACTGTGGATTTGGAACTTTGCTTGAAGGTGATCTAAGACGAAGGATTTGCAACTTTGCTTGAAGGTGATCTAAGACTGTGGATTTGGAACTTTGCTTGAACGTGGTCGAAGACTGTGGATTTGGAACTTTGCTTGAAGGTGATCTAAGACTGTAGATTTGGAACTTTGCTTGAAGGTGATCTAAGACTGTGGATTTGGAACTTTGCTTGAAGGTGATCTAAGACTGTGGATTTGGAACTTTGCTTGAAGGTGATCTAAGACTAAGGATTTGGAACTTTGCTTGAAGGTGAACTAAGACTGAGGATTTGGAAGTTTGCTTGAAGGTGATCTACGCCTGTGGATTTGGAACTTTGCTTGAAGGTGATCTACGCCTGTGGATTTGGAACTTTGCTTGAAGGTGATCTACGCCTGTGGATTTGGAACTTTGCTTGAAGGTGATCTACGCCTGAGGACTTGGAACTTTGCTTGAAGGTGATCTACGCCTGTGGATTTGGAACTTTGCTTG